AGAATTCATTTGCTGACACCTTTTGTGCTGTTCCTGTGGCACAGCAGATAGGCTCGGCAAGGGGGATGAGAAGGAGAAGGGCACGGTGCTGGCAGGCAGGCTGTGGCCAGGAGCAGGAGGGGATGGTGGCAGCAGGAGCAGTTAAGGATTGGCACACTTCTGTTCCCAGCCTGTCGGCCACACGCTCTCCGCAGTTGCACTGTGTGATGCATGTCTGTGGACCGCCTCTGAGCCAGGTCTGGGCACCTGGCAGGGAGCAGAGGGCCAGCCTCCCAAGTTGCTCCCCGACCTGTGGACCGTGCCACCCACCTGTCCCTCTCACTGAAACGCCCTTTCTCATGGTAAGTGGTTTGCGATCTCCATTCAGGTCTTTGCTCTGTTGTCACCATCTCAGGGTGGCCTTTGTAATTGCATTTCGCAAAGTGAATTCCTGCTCTGTGATCCCAGCACCTTTTCCCAGCTTTAATTTTTCTTGCCATCAGATACATCACATAACATTTTATATGTGTGTGTTTCTACCCCAGCCTGGAATTTTTGTTCCCTCGGGGCCCTAGTGCTTCCTAGCCTGGCACATAGGAGGCACTCAGTAAGCACGTGATATGAATTTGAAAAATGAATACATGGTAGCCAGGGGTGTTAGATATGTGGCCAGCTAGACAGAAACATGACATTGTGCAGAGTAAAGGATAAAAACAAACCTTGGTGACTATGGTGTTTCTCGGTAACCTGTGTAGAAACAAACAGCCCATCTGAGAAGGTTCCAGTTCATGTCCGGTTGTGGGTGTGGTGGGGGACATTTGGAGACAACCTCTAACAGCAGAGTCCAGCGCAGAGCCAGGCCTGTGATTCATGGACTAGGACTCTGCTGGTCAGGGGCCTGTGTTCCAGGAGTTGCCTCTGCACTTCCTTCCTCCTTTTCAACACAGACGTTTTCGGAATAATGGGCGATTCTGAAAATTATGGTTATTTTCCACATCTGTCTTTTTATAGAATGTTTCACTAGCTATTTTACATGTTCCTGAGTCTCATTGTGAAAAGTCCCGCAGACGTAAGAGAAGAATTCTCAAGCTGAGAAGAAAAGCAGTCTAAGAACAGACGTGCTATTGCTGACAGAACCACCGCTTGTGTGCGCTTTCGCGTAGAGGCGTCCGTCTGAGAAAGACGAGAGCGTTCCTGGGCTTGCCAGCTTCCAGGGGGCCTCATTCAAGACGGGTTTAGACTTGGATGACTAGGACAGATGGTTGGTAACTGAATTCTTCAGTATCTCCAAATACTAAATGCCACACCCTTTGGTAGCCTGCTGCTGGGTTCGGTACACTTGGACTGAAATTTCACCGTGTGTTTAATCAAGCTGCTTCTCTGTTGCTGTGATGTTAGCCTAGTTTCTCAAGTTCAGCTTTGTCCTAGGCATTGCCCTTGTCATGATAGCTCATTTATACCACTTTCTTAAGGGCCTCGTTTTTTTCTAAGTCCACTCATGATCTTCCTCCTCCCCCAACTCCATCACACAGGCCTGTTTCCCATTGTTTGTAACATTTCTTTACACCCCTTTCCAGCTTTTCCATGTGCTCCTTAAACCAACACTGGTCACAGTTCTCTGAAGGCCTCTTAGTTAAAAATTGTCATGATTCCCTACTGCGTTTGTCAGACCCCAGGATACTGGTATTTGAGCTTTATTTATAGCTTGGTATTAAATGTGTACATACAGCCTGTTGTAGTACACATCATTCTAGCATCTACTCTTTTACAAACTGGATTTTGTGTTTGGTTTACAGCATCAGGCTTTTCTCCCCATTGTGAAGGTCTGGTTTGTTCTCCGTCTCCAGGGGAGCTCCTTTGCATTTATTCCAGTTCAGCAATCCTTTGTACACAATAAGTGTTTGATATTTGTGTATTTAATTAGCATGTTCATTTTAGCCTTGTCTTTGGGTTTAGATCATGTCTCACACCGACAGGTTCCTCTCTCCTGTGGTGTTACCAACTTCTCTACCTTTGTGGCTGGGGGCCTTTTAGGACTTGAAGTGGACATTGTGGTTTATCACAACCACTGGGGGCTCACTGACGACATTTAGTGGACCGGCCCAGGCACAGAGTGCCAGCCGCGTCTCTGCTGAGAAGACTGCTTCCCACCGATGGCTGGCAGTGCCGTTGGGGAGTTGAGCTTGTGGCGCACACACAGTGGGCAGTGTTTACTGAGGGCCTGCTATTTGCTAGGCACTGCCCTGAGGGCACCATCTGACCTGCTTGACAACCTTTAGAGGGAATTACTGCACTATTTCCCCCATTTTACAGATGGGAGGTTACATAACATGTCCGAAGTCACATTGCTAGTAAGTGGAAAAAATAAGTTTCCAACCCGTCATAGAACCGCTAATCACCTCCCAGTGTGTTATGCGTGTTCTTCGCTCCTTCATGCCTGACACCTGAGTGGTAGACCCCTCAGCACGCTGTCCACCCAGCAAGTAATAGCAGGGTCTAGATTTGAAATGTCTTGGAAGAAGGTAAGTCTGTGCATCAGCTTGTCCATCAGTCCTGCTGCTTACGGCCTCGCCCCTCCTTAGCAGTATCTTTATTTGCTTTTGCTTGAGGTGCAAGGGACCCTGTGCCCTCCATATAAATGGCCCACCATCCATCACAGATGGCATTAAATTGTGTTAGTGATTCAGATTTCACAAAAACATGGTGGTTGTCTCCCAAAATTGGCATTTTCTAGATAATTTTCATAAATTATGCAAAAATAGATAAGAATATTGCTTTTTTAAAAAAGCAACTGCAGGACTTCTAACAGGCTTTCATAGATAAAATGTTTCCAATTTAAGGGTAGCATCCCTAAATAAGAGGATTCTGTTGAGGACGTGCAAAGCTAGAACGTCTTCTTCAGAGGTTCTAGAGTTTTTGTCCCCTGAAGAGATTCCGTCTGAGGGAAGACAGCGGCTCAGATGAGAATGGTCTTAGGGATGCAGCATGTTAGAACGCTGTTACAATTTTTGAATTTCAGGAGCGACCTTGTGGCCTGGTTGTGTCACTGTTGGGGGACAAAGGTGGCACACCCAGTTGTTGGCACTTGGTCTGTGGTGGCTTCTTGATTTCCAGCCGTGGGTTGAAGGAGTGTGTGCCCTCCCTGAGGTCCCCTCCAGGGCAGGACAGATGTCAGGGCCAGAACCCTGGTAGCCTCTGCCCTCACTGTCACCCCTAGCCCCGAGTAGCTTATCTCACAGAGGGGCTGGGTGGAACCCACTCAGTCGTTCCTTGAGTCAGCCAAAGAATGCACACACTTCATTGTGGCCAGCCGAGGAAAGGGAGTAGCATTAAATGGTTAACAAGTTAGTAAGACTGATTTTTGCCTTTGCTCTTAGAAAGTAAAATATTTGTGGTTGTTTCCGTAAGAGTGATGAATGACCAGGAAAGCTGAAAGTGTATGCCTCCTAATGTTAATGTGTGTGAAAATCTAGTTAATGTATATGAAAAGATGCATAGCTACCCTGTAAATGTAAATCTTAAATAGGGGGGAAATGTAGGGACTTATGAAATCTTAGAAGATGGAGTTAGATCTGTAACTATTGATATGATACTATCCTCGAGATGTTCTGTTAAGTGAAAACAAGTGAGGTCCTGGAATAACAGCAGGTCCTGGAATAACATTGTTTCACGAAATGTTGATGAGATGCCATAAGAACGTAACTCTCATATCCATTAGCCTGTAGTGAAATGGGTTTCATTTATGCGGCATTTTGCTGTGGTTTGTATTAACGACATTAGGGGGGGACTTAACTATGTATGCTTTTTGGTATAACAGTACCTTTTATAAGCTGCTTTTTTACTGTGACCTCCCCTCCCCCAGAGCACAAATATATTTTACACACAGCTGAGTACATGATACTTAAAAATATAATAACATCAAAGAGTTATGAAAAAAACATTCTTTCTCACTTTGATTATTATGATCAGTTTATTAATTTTAATACAAACTTAACCTAATCATCTACTAATATATGATCTGCGTCTACAACCCAAAATGTAAAAACACCCATTTGGCATGACCTTTTTTGTGTTCAAAAGTGGAAAATCTTGGGAAATATATTCAATAAGTTTTACCATTAGGTTCCTTCTGACATTGGGGCTTAAAGGATTGTGGATGGAGGGAAGTGATGAGATTTTTTTTTTTACCACTTCTATTCATTTTTTTTCCTGCTGCTGTTTTTATTCATTGTTTTTAAGAGTTCTAGATCTAATGGAGATGATTGGTTAGCACAGTCGCTGATTGGAAGGAAATACTCTGGAACCCTCTCCTCCCCAGCCTGGACCCGCCCCCAGAGACACCTGGGACAGACTGCAGGGGTCAGGGCTCCTGGCCCGGAGGTGCAGTGGTGTGGCGGGGCAGGCTGGGAGCCAGGTGCCTGGCCCTGACTGGCCCAGTGACCGGGGCCAGTTTCTTACCCTCTCTGAGCCTGAGGTCTTCATCTGTGCTGCCGTCTTGACCAAAAGTCCCTCTGGTCTGTCCCTGTATTCATTTTTTAATACTTGAATTTTCTACTGGGGGCATGAATGAAGTATTGCAAATGATCATAGACTTAACAAGCAGAGAAAACCGCCTCACTGGGGCATGCTCTTTGACACAGCTCCCCTGCCTTTGTTGCCTTAGCCCAGTCTTTGCTTCTTGCCCAGGTTGGATCTGCTGCTGTCTGCCACCTCCCAGTCCCGCCCTCCGCTCCTCCCGCTGAGATTGCAGCTTCACCGGAAGAGTGTTCACAGAGCTGGGAAGCAGAGTGTAGACTGGCACTCCTAAAGGGAATTCACGGGGCTGTGTCTTTCCTTCTGATTTCCAAATTAGAACTAGCACATAAGTTACCTGTGTGTTAAAAAAAGAATTTTAGCATGAGGAATTTAACCTAGTCCATAGCATATTCTTTGAAAAGAATGTGTTCCTGTTCTTTTATGAAAAAATACTACGTAAGAAGCATTTTGAGTAGAGCTTAATGGTTTTTTTTTTCTTTTAATAGGTTTTAAAATGGAAAATTTTGATGCATCACTTAGTACCTATTTCAAGGCATGGCTAGGCCCCCGAGGTAAGGTGGTTTTTGGTTTCACTTACTCTCCCTCCCTGCCCCCCCACTTCCCTGATATAGCTGCTTGTAAATAAATGTTGCACCCTGAGATTCTAGAAAACATCAGTGTTTTCTATGATAAGACAAATGCTGTGTCCTGGATAACTAGGGGCTTGGAGAAGTCCTCTGATGTCACTGAAATGGTGAGTGTCCCCAGGCTGTTGGAGCAGAGAAACAGCTACTGTGACTGCTTGCTTTAGCTGGAGATCAAATTATGCTATACAGCTTGTAGCCTGAAAATGCCAGGATTTCGCCATGATCACCTGTGTGTTTGCCTCAGTTCTCTGAGTCTCCAGCTGAAATGGCTTCCAAAATGCACTGCCACACTAGCAATTAAAACAATTCTTTGCCTTTTACCATTTTTAGGGCTTTTTAAATGTCCTTTCATGTTGTTTCACATCAGCAAGTAAATAAACACTTACAGGCATCTTTTATAGTCTTTTAGAAAGTAAATCAGCTCCACGTTGCTTTCCTTTAATGTCATCTAAAACATCTTTTTAAAAAAAAAATTCTCACTCAAGGGTATGTTTATTGATTAGAGAGAAGGGAACATCGATGTAAGAGAAACATTGATCAGCTACCTCCGTATGTGTGACTGGGGATGGAACCGTAGCCTTTCAGTGTATGGGATGGGGCTCCAAGCAAACTGAGCCATCTGGCCAGGGCTAGAATGTCTCAGTGTCTTACCTATAAAGAAAGAACTTTTTAGGTTCACAGAAAAACTGCAGTTTTAAAACAGATCCTTTAAAAAATTCTCAGTTTCACTTGTGATTATTAAAATACAAAACAAAGTAGCAAAAGACTATTTGTATGGCAGAGATGAATCATGTGTGATACCATTTGTAATGATAATAATGAAGTAGAGAAGGTCTAAATTGGTGTAATCTTTCTGGAAGGTAGTTGTGTCTTCTGTTGAAATTAAAATGCACGTGCCATTTGACTTAGCTGTTCTACTCTTAAGAATTTATGCTACAACCAATGCAAAGATGTGTATCAGGATGCTCCTTGCAGCATTGCTTGTGAAAACTGGAAATAACTTGGATGCCCATCAGTAGGGGACAGGTTAAATAATTTGTACACAGCTAGTGGAAAAGAACAAGTTAGATCCATCTGTATATTTATATGTGCTTGTGTTGGGACGATGCTTTATGGAACCCAAAAATTCAATCTTAAATGGCTGAAGCAATAATAAAACTTAACTAGCTTGCATTACAAGGTCAGGCAACTCCTGTACTTTTCAGGGGCTGTATGTCATTAAGTAAGAATGCCTGTTCTTGTCATTTTCTACTTTGCATCCTCAGTACATCAGCAGCTTTGTCCTTAGAAAAGGTGTCCATACGCTCCATGGTTTGAGGATGGCAGTACCTCCAGAGGAGGGAGAAATCACATTTGCATGGGTTTAAGAACCAGGAAATTCTTCCTCAGAGCCCTTTTCCAGCTGTCATCTTCTCAAAGCTTCATGTGCCCATGTCTGAACCAGTCACCTGAGAGTGGGTCAGGATGACCTTGATCAGCTAAGTCCCTGAGGATTTCCCACCTGGGCCTGGGCCAGGGGCCAGGGGCAGGGGTCAGGGCCAGCCACCCAGGAGGGTACTAGGCATTGTAGAGGGAGGTTGGATACTTGCTAATATGGAAAGAGGAAGATCTGTTACAAAATTTAAAAAGCAGGTGCAAACAAAGCTCTAAGTAAAAAGAAATGGGAGATGTTTGTGCATTTATTGTTTGTGATACATAATATACACACAAACCTGATGTCAGTCGCTAAGTGGAAACTTGTGTTCTCAGAATTGACAGCTAAAAACAAAGTGTTCAGAATCCCCTTGTTAAGTTCACTGGGGCCAGCCACTTCCCTGAAGGACTTCTGAGAACCAGTAGTTCAATAGAACTGACGGAAGCACCCTGAACCACCCTAGCACAGCTAGTAGGAGACAAGCCATCTCCCTCTGAAGCCCAGGAAGAAAGCCAGGAACGCTGGAGAATTTAAGGTGTCTGCAAGAAAGTAGACTGACAGTAGTTCCCCCCAGTACACAGAGGCTTGTTTTTCAAAGACAAGAGAAAAAGCATTGCAGAGATAGCAAGATGGTCCAGCCAGGAGGTCAAAGAAGGCCAAAGGCTGTCTTCACGAACAACTTCTTCTCGAGGATGCAGGAGGTGGAACCTGCATGTGCCTTGAGCTCCAGAGTGCGGGGCCCTAGAGAAGCCACAGGTTTGGGGGCTCACTACAGCAGGAGGTGGAGGGGAACATGCTGCAGAGATAGCTTCCTGGGAGTCAGCCAGAGAGGAAGTTGACTTGCAGTGGACAGATAACACCCGTAGAGGATCTGACTGCCAGGGACTTTACTCCCATCCAAGGAGACGTCTGTCAGATGGCTGCAGGCCGCTGCTTGGAACGACTTCCCTTTTCCTCATTCCTGCCTAGGAAAAGAGATGGACTCCAGGGAGGTCTCTCCTATACCAGTAGATCCCTTGAATCCTTGTAAGTCTTCTCTCTCAAGCTTCTACTCCTCACATGGTTCTTACATACCTTAAACAGTCACTTACTGATCATTGCTGCTTCACCCTCACCTAAAAAAAAAAATCAGTGTTGACCATTGCGCTCACAGCAGATGCCGCCCGTCTACTCAGTGACCATCAGTAAGCTGGCTAAATGGCACATTTTCTCGGAGTCTGCACATGCTGGGAGGACTTGCTGACTCTTGGCTGAGATAGAGGACTTCACAGTTCCCAGACTGCCATTCTAGGGTTTCGTTACCCCATGCATAATTTAACAAATTAGGTTAATAAATCCTGTGAGTGGAAAATTCAGCTTTCTCCTCCCTTTTAAAAAGATTTATTAGAAAGGATTTTTAAATTATTTTATTTAGCAAAAACCATACGTAATATACACATTATTGTTCAAACATGTAACAAGCAGCTTCACCTTGTACGACCCAGATTGAAACCTCATGCTTCCTCTTGTTGTCTTGCTGATATTAAGAATGTTAGGTAAGTTATAAAATGGTGGTCAGAGAAATTTTTTTTACTATTTGAAAAGTGTAGTGTTTTTTAATATTTATTACTCACTAAATATCATTCCTGTATTGTTTTTTCCAGATACCCGAGTGAAAGGATGGTTTCTTCTGGACAATTACATACCTACTTTTATCTGCTCCCTCATATATTTACTAATTGTGTGGCTGGGACCAAAATACATGAAGAACAGGCAGCCCTTCTCCTGCCGAGGAATTTTAGTGGTGTATAACCTTGGCCTCACGCTGCTGTCTCTCTACATGTTCTGTGAGGTAGGTTAGAGGTTGACACAGGCTTCCTCGCCCCTAACTCGTGCACCGTCCCGAACTGCATTCCTCAGTGAAGAAAGGACGGCGAGAGAACTGGGCAAGCAAGTGCATTCATGCCATTTGAGTATGTTTTAAAAGCGATTTTTCAAAATGCCAGACCTGTTTGTACAAATATGGCTTCTGTTTGTACAAATAGCCTTCGCTGTTGATTCTCCTGTTTCATTTTGCATTTAGAATTAAAATAAATATTTCACAAGTACTCCTATGCAAATGAAATACAGAGTGGGAAATGAACAAAGTATAAAAAACCGAACTATAAGCATTTTATTATTAAGCATTTAATAAATAGTTCTTGTTTGGGGTGGGGAAGAAGGAAGTGGGTGTTTCTTGAGTTTGGTCATGTTTGTGGTAAGTCAGCCTCTCTCTCCCGATCTGATCACTGTAAATAGTTTTGAGATCTGATTTTTTTATAAGCTAAGAAGAGTGGATATGAGCTCTGCTGTTAGGGTTGGAATGGTCTGTGAATGTTCAGACCCTGGTATTTTATGTAACTGAAACGTGGAAAACCACCTTCAGTGATCTCAAAGGCAAATGTAGCTTCAGTGAAAATGAAAGTCAAAGCAGAATCAATACCACGTCCTTCCTGTTTTGCAAAGTGTAGTAATATAGCCTTTAAAGCTACAGGGCAGTGGGGCCATCCCTCCTGTGGTAATAAACACAATTTGTGTGCAGTTTTAGGGGAAGGGCTACACCTTTCAGGCTTACAACACAGATGTTTTACAATGCAAAACTATTGCTGTGCCTCTGGGGTGGAGAATTTTAAGCCATACATAAACACTTTTAAGCAGTCCTATTTAAATTGTTAACCTTTTTGCAGCTTTAATTCTCCAAGGAGTAGTAAAAAAAAAAAATAAGGGGAAGAGGGGAATCTTAATGTTTAAAGAAAAAATAAATTTACCATCAGCCCCAGGCTGCACTGTCTGCCCGTCTGCCTAAGGCTGAGTGTGAGCATGGCTGCGGGTGTAGCAGCTGTAGAAAGCATTGCGTTTGATCAGCAGAGGTATTGCAGCTGTGGATGATCTGTGTCCTGTTTTCCCACGTGTGTTTCAGAAGCCATGGCAAAGATTCTGTGACTAGAACAATAGATGCTACTATCATTACTTATATTCTTCACAGTCTGTCAAATACTTACAAGTCGTTTTTTGCTTTTTTGTGTCCTATTCCAGAATGAAGGCAGTTTAACTAGCCTCCAAGATGGATATTGCAGGACGGAGGCAGGGCCAGTGCCCGGGAGTGACTCCTGGGCCCAGCCCCGTGCGCATCTGTCTGTGTCGAAGGGACAGAACCGCAGCAAGCTGTCAGGTGTTTCAGAGTGAACTGTTTACTTTCCCATAGTTGATAGATGATAGAGCTGTTTCCTTAAGAAAGCTTTTATAGAGTTTGTTAATATATTTTAACAGTCATCTAGAGAAAAAATATTTAAGATTATTAAGTCTCATAGAACTTAAGCATCTGCCGTAAATGTTTTTTTAACCCTAGAGATAGAGCTGTAACTTCATAATTTAACCTCTTCAACAGATAATTTCTTGGTGAAGAGAGGAGGCAAAGTGCTGTATACATTGCAGCTATGCATAAGTGACCGACTTAGGGGGTTCTGAGGGCGTTAGAAGAAGGAGAATAGATTTTCTGCCAGCAGCTCGTACTGAGCAGTGCCCCAGCAGTTGACCGTAGGGATTTAAGAAATATACAGAGGAGGGAAGTAACAGTTTTAACTCACAGTTTAAAGTACATAGAGAAGTAATAGGTAAGGGGGCATTAATTCCTTAAATGAAATCGAGATTATAACCTCTACCCAGATCAGATATGCTTCAGTTGGAAATAAGCCCTGGTACTCCAACTTCAATGATGTTTACACATGGGGGTTTTTTTCTGACCTTTTTTCCGTACTTATATAAACTCATCAGGAATACTGTCAGAACATATTGTTTGTCAAGTTTTTAATTTCACTTTAGCGACTGGTTTTTCTTCTTGAACTTGGCACGTATAGCCTAGTGAGTACTAAAACGTAGGAGGGCAGTCGAGGAGCCCAGCGGGGCCCCCTTCAGAGAAGGATCCCAAGAGTTAGAGCCTTCCCTGTGGCCACGCGCCGGCAGAGCCCTCACTGTCCGCCTCCAGGGTAAACCCTTTTGCTTATCTACATATTTGGGGTTGTCAGGAATTGAAAAAATAAATACGTAGTCTTTGATATTCTTGTTTATTTAATCCTGTGGCATGAATCCACAGCTGCCTTTGCGAGTTCTATGTTAAGACAAATAAAATTGTCACCGAAGCCGACTAGGAGAAATCTTAAAAAGGAAAGGGGGGGGGGGACACAGAAACTTTAAAATTGTTAGAAGAAAGTAAATGACAGTTTTAAAATTGAGTCGTTTAGTTTAAAATATAGGGGGAAGTAGACTTGTTCATAGTTTAGGAAGAAATGAAAAGGAAACGGTGGCTTTACTCCTGATTATCTCATGAACTCAGTATTCATTTACAGGAAAAAGGTCCTAGATTCCTGATTAGAAGTATGTTTGGACAGTGGGGTGTTTTAGATGGAAAGTACGGGACTTTATGGCAAGCCGTTTAGTTTTTACTTGCTCAGTTAGGTGCTAAGATCACAGTCAGTGGTGAAGGCTCAGAAATTTGAAGTTATAGAAGAGAAATAACTTAGTTTGCATTACTCAGCTTTGTGAAACTTCCCTCATAGCAAACATAAAAGTCTTGTGTTCCTTTCTTCCCCCAGAGATTCAGGACATATTGCATCTGAATAAATGCCCCACTGTTTGTTTGTTTTTTTTAATTTTTAAACTATCCACATGTCTTGTTCCCAAGCTCCAGATTGGGAATCCCCACCTACCCATCATGAATTTGTGGCTTTTCTGAATTATGCAGTATACACCCAGGCTGGACTTGAGTTTCCCTTGGCCTACCCAGCAAGCTGTCCCAGCCACTTCTGACTCCTTTGTGTTAACATATCACACATGGGGTTCCCACTTAGGCAGCTGCTCTGTCCTGATGTGGAACCATTTTGGTTTGTCTCTTCTCTCCTCTTTACCCCTGGCCTCACCACTCTAGGCAAAGAGGATCTAAGTGCTCGATTTGCAAGAACATCCAAGAGGGACTGTTCCTGTTAATCAGCCTGCTTCCATGCCCTGGTGCTGGGACTCATCAGTAGCTGCTGGGGGCAGTATTGCACAGCCCGCGTGGCTTGGAACTGAGATAACGGCCCGCTAACCTTTCCTTAGGAGGAAACCCTGAGCTTTCTTAGCCTGTCCATTATGCCCAGCACTGCTAGGTCCCCTCTGCCCCCTCCACATCAGGCTCTTTCATCTTTGGTCCCTACCCCTTAAAAATCCCCTCTTCCTTTCTGACCTAAGCCTACTTCAGTTTGACAACCTCCATTTCATTTCTGAGGATTCTCTCCGAGATCGGTTCCTCCGTGAAGTTGTGAGAGGACTCAGCTGCAGAGCAGTGACTTTTCAGTGGGGTTTGCTTCTCCGTTCCTAAGGATCGGGACACATTCCTTTCCGTTAAAGTGCTCTGGTAGACGTGCCCTGTAGCATCCTTTCACACAGGGTGAGTGTTGTTACAGTGGGTCTACACGTCTTTGTCTCCCCTTTGTTGGTACGGTCCACCAAATGTGGCCTGAGCATTAAGCCAGGAAAAAAGCAAATGCCAGAGCCATCATTCTACTTTATTGAACAAAGACAAATCACAGATTACAGACAATGTTATTTTTTGAGTATTTATGTGTTTATCCCCCTTGCAAGTAGAGCTGTGTGTTGTAAGTTGCGTGAAAGAATTCTCTCACACACATATTCAGAACATTTAAAATGTAATTTTAAAACAATGATTGACAGCTAACTGGAAAGATGAATCTGGATTCGCACAGATCCAAAACTTATTCTTTCTTTCCCTTTGCAATTTTCATATTAAATTATAATTTTGAACTATAAAATATGGAAAATAAAATTACATAAATGATGTCTATGCATGTAATATACTGACATTTTCTTATTGGTTTGAATTTTTGTCTATAAAATATAAAATGCATTTAAAGTACAGCTCCTCAGAATGTAAATTTCTTCTGAAGTTCATGTATTTCTTCTCTGGAATGTGTAATAATATGCTTTTATTACATATGTATGTATATATGTATGTATGTATACATGATAATATATAGCATATTCTGAGACAGTTTCTTAAAATTCACACAGCCCAGACTGGTGTGGCTCAGTGGATTGAGCACAGGCCTGTGAACCAAAGGGTCACCAATTCCCAGTCAGGGCACATGCCTGGGTTGTGGGCCAGATCCCCGGTAGGGGTTGCACAAGAGGCAACCACACACTGATGTTTTTCTCCCTCTCTTTCTCCCTCACTTCCCCTCTAAAAATAAATAAAATCTTAAAAAATAAAACAGTCAGCACTGGCCTGTGAACCAAAGATTTGCTGGTTCGGTTCCTGGTCAGGGCACATGCCTGTGTTGCAGGCCAAGTCCCCAGTTGAGGGCATTTGTGAGAGGCAACCATACATTGCAGTTTCTCTCCCTCTCTTTTTCCCTTCCCCTCTGTCTAAAAATAAGTTTTAAAAATCTTTTTTTAAAAAAAGCCAAACATTTAAAATTTTTACATAAATGGTGTACTGTTTATACTTTTTTTCAAATAACTTTCTTCAGGCAACATTATATGAGGTCTGTCCAGAAAGTATCCAGCCACGTAATATGAAACATGCATTTATTTAAAAAGATACAAGAAACATTGCACATAGAACGATGACGCCTCAGTCCCTTTCAAAGTAGGCGCCTTGGGACCTCACACAGTTCTCCCAATCACCATCAGCTGCCCTGTCTTATTTTCGTGAATCTCATCAATGGTCTGAAATCTCTTCCCTTTCAAAGGTGATTTCAGTTTTGAGAAAAGCCAGGAGTTGCAGGGCACCAAATCTGGGCTGCAGCAGGGCTGAGT